ATAACAATAAGTGGGTAGATTATTTACCATACGTTGTATACGCCTATAATACTTCAATACATTCGGTTACAAATTATACGCCATTTTATTTAGTTCACGGCTATAATCCTAAAAGCATGTTTGATATTGCACTAATTCCCCCTTCCGATGGGAACGTTATCGATGAAATTAATAAAATCAAACATATTAGAAAATCATTACCCCAATTATTAGAGAAACAATCCGAACAGACTAAACAAAAACTATTATCATCGAATAATTTTTAATCTTTTAAAGCGGGAGACAAAGTTTTAGTTAAAGTCCCGGTAAAGGGTAATAAATTTTCAGATAGGTATGAAGGCCCTTATGTTATTTTAAAGAAAATAGGTCCATATAGTTATTTAATAAATCTGCCAAAAAAAAATATTCTGGTCGAGTCGCCTGTTCACGTAGACCAGTTAAAACCTTTCGTTTCTAGAATATAAAATCCATTCAAATCTCGGCCCGGGGCTAGCTCTAAAATAGTAAAATATGTATAGTAATGAGATGACAATATAATTACAATTTAACAATTTTCCGAAAATATAAGAATTATATTCTTTGATTCTTTGATACTTATGGCTTATTATTATTATTCCGTTCGACTAGATCGACATATTTTTATAATGGCATAATTTTATTCTAATTAACAAACAATGTTATAACATAACATTTATTATTTCGATCGGCTTAGCCCGACTTCCCTTTATTTATTATATATTATGAAATTACTTTTATTCGATACTATAAGGTGATATAAAATGCACGATACACGAGGTTTAAGAAAATTTACTTCTAAATAATCTATTTTGAAAAATAAATAGTGTCGAATTTTATAAAATTGGGCTTGAAAGAATATTTGTGGCAAATAAAACCCTTGGTTATTATTATTAAATTTAAAAAATTATTTTATTGTGGTACTTACCAAACATGATTTCCAATATAACATTCCAGGCATCTTCAGTCCAAATAGGTCAAACATACAATGAACAACACTATACAGTCAACGGTCGCCACATCCCCACATAATCCCCTATAATCTTAGCTATAATCTTACGTGACAAATTTGAATAACGGACTCTATTCATATGTTTACAACAATAAATCCTTTTGTTAACATATTATGACCTTATTGAATAGCCATTACTTATAATTACAATTGATACTAATAGAGCGAGCCAGTTAATATTTTAAATAAATTATTTCTTTATAAAATCAATTCGACATGCACGTTTAATATATACAAGTTAACTAAGTTGTTACAGCAGCAAAAATCGTTGTCTTTTAAACAGCCGTTATTACGGCTACCCTTATTATAGGATAATTTATATAATATAATCGTCCCGCAACTAAGGCGCAAGTCAGCCTAAATCAAAATACCCTATTGTGTGTATTTCTTCTTTTTTTTTATATATAATTAATGGACACTGAATTTTATGAGATGGTCACTGTGTATGTTTCACATATATTTTACTGTATACATTAGTACTATTATCGAGCATGCTTAACTTAATTTAAGACACCTATTGTAAATGTATGCAAGTTTTTGACAACGTTTTGGCTACATACATTAGGTTAACTTAGCTTATTTTTTTTTTTATTGTCATAAATAACATAAATTATTATCATTTTTTAATTCATGAACATTTATCATTTATTGTGTATGCATTGCTTATAATTGTATTCGGTACCCCAACATCCCCTTTTAATTATTAAATTTTTTTTTTAATAATAAGCGTTAGTGTTCTGAACAGACCTCGAGAACACGGAGAATACTCTTTGGGGCCCCGAGACTATTCAAGAAGTCGACGACAGGGCCGGGCTTTTCATAGGAACCGCTTGGTAGCCGACTATTGAGAGCCCACACGAAGGAAGCTCCTCTAACGCTCAAAAGCTTGTGAATTAAGGAGTGTGGACATCGAAGACCCAGAGGTTCTTACTACGACACTAATGTCCCTCCAAATTTTTTTATTTTAAATATTTTTTCTTTTCCTACGTAGAATTATTTTGCCAAAGTTCTTTTGTTTTGTATTAAGGCCTGGGGTCAGACCTTAAGTGTAGGGGGAGCAGCTGATACGATCAAATTTGCATGTGCCCGTATCTCTGTCTCCCATAACATCGTTGTACCGTTTAATAGACATATATATATATAATTAACACAGTGACATACAACAATACTAACAGGAGGGCGGACTGCACACATAAACACTTTTTGCAATTCACGGACAATGTGCCATAATAAGATATCCCTATCGACAGTTGACATTTTACCATCTTCGCGATCACTACTTTTGCCTGATAATTAACTTAACTTCGCTACCCCGTATATTATAGTGTGTGTGTGTGTCGCCGTCAGCTCCCTGTTGGATTATAACATCTCTAGGTGTCCAGCAGGTTGTATTATCTATTTAATATTTAAATTGCTTAATAAACATTTATTTATATCGTTGTTAACCTAAAGTGTTATATATATATATATATTGTAGTACGACCCTTGGTAGTTCCTCTAAGGGAATATAAATTAAATAGGAAACTTCAATACCTAAGGTAGATATAGCCTAGTCAGCTATCCCCCGTTGGTCCCTTAGAATACTGTCGACGGGCATTTAGGCTCAACCCCTAAATAGCGACGTAACACTACTGAACCAATAAAATATCAAAATAAATAGTAACTGCCAACCAAGCTAAAGGTACATAGATTTTCAGAAGCTAAACGAACGATAAAAATAATTGATGANACGATCGATAAAAATAATTGATGAAGATAAACAGTAGTAATCACACTAATAGCCCGGTAGTAATTGTTTACCTAAATCATTATTATTGATTATTAACTATGTATAGATTATACTTATGAGCGATAAAAATGAAATAACTAACGATAATAATCTACACACTATTAAAATCCGATAACGGCACAATCAATTATATACCGGTTAACATATATAACTATGCACAACAAAGTATTTTCCCGATCACACCGATAAACGAGCTTGATTTTTTCCCATAATGTTGAAAATTTTATGATCAGGAATTAAGAACTTCTAACCTTTGAACGTTGGTAGTATGCGGTGTTTTTAATTGTTGATAAACAGTACACCCCACCAGTATGATAATAGAATAGAAGAAAACATTAATAAGTTAATTATATGTGCATTAAGGAAATTACTGAACGCTAATCATAAAAATAATTTAAATAGAACGACAAAATAAAATTACTAGGATCAATATGGCGGTATAAAGGACCAAAATGTTTGAGTGTTCCTTTAACTAAAATTTAAAAGGATGGCACTACAAGTGTCATAAATAGACAACAGAATATGGAAGATTATTAAAAGATGTTGAGAGTATTCATATATTGATATTTCTATATAAGAATATTATACAAACATAACATATCACTAAAATTAATGTTAGTAAAACTTAACTATACTAGAAATATATACAATATATAATAGGTACATTAATAGATTATTTAATAGTAATGTAAAATAATACAATAAAGGCGACCTGTACATCCACAGATGGCAGTGACATGGTTTGCGGCTGGATTGCGAATTACAGGAGACTTAGTACAGAAGGCGTTCCACAACGTGGAAATGAAGTTAACTCGTCCCGACGATGGCGAATTTGGCGTAGGCGAAACTATGCGCGTATACACCTTTTGCGATGCTTCAAAAGAGCACAAAATAAGAAAAAACGAAATAAATTTACCAAGTACATTAGCCTTCTGTACTTCTTCTAACATTAGTTATGGAAAACCATGCTAACCTAGTACTATGCTTACATTCACAGATGAAAGATCTTAAGTAATATATATATCTTATTGAATTTCATATTTTTGGTATCTCCTGATTTATGATATATTATTTAGTTTTATGTTCTTTATTGTATTAAATATTTTAAAAATAAACATTTTAAGGGGAAGAGGGTTAATTTTTTTAGATAAATGCTCAATTGTTTATTTCAAACTTACATTTAATACGACGGAAAAATATAAGGACCAGAACTGTTTAATTTAAAATAAAATATTCTAAGGGAAAAAATGAATTAACAATTACCCCATTTGTTTACATTTACCTAACTTTACCTTAAATTAGGAAATATTTTAATTCAAATTATTGAAATAACCCTAAATTATAATTAATAAGAACCATCATTTTAAAACTTGAACACAGTGTTGAAATAATTTATATTTTTAGTTATTTTATTAATGAAAAAAAATGTATTATCTAATTATTAACTTAATTTAAAAAATAACTCAAACTTATTAAATAATTTGGTTCCTACGTATGGCATAATAATATTAGAAAGATTGTTTATAAATTGTGCATATAACAATTTTTTAGTATAAGTATATTAATATTTCATTAAATGTTGTAAATAGCATTTTTCACCTCTGAATGATTATAATCTACAGCTATATGTACCATTGGTATATTTTATAATATAAAAATTAAAAAATTTATATTATATAAAATTTTATTTTGACCAGATAGCTATAAATTATGAATGTAAAAATATAATTTGTTACGAAATTGATCTTATCAAAAAACTTGGTTTTTACATTAAATAAAACATAACTATTTTGTTTTATTTTTCGGAATCTTAGTACAAAAAAGTATCCGATATTTCTACAAAGTTAATTAAACTAGAACAAGAAAAGTGTGTCCCCACTGAAACATTATCTTTAAGTAATTTGAATGTAATGAGTAGTGTTAATAATGATACACCACCTACACAAAATTCTGTTAAAGAAATAACTCATGCTGAAGGTCATAATATTTTTTACAAACCACTTAATTTCAATCATTCTAACTTATGTTATGCAAGTAATAAACCCTCAACCTTTACCCCTACTAAGTACTTTCTTTAAATTTAAGTGATAAATTAATGTCATTATTTGTTTCATATAACTTTTGTAAAGATTGCTTCAAATTTTACAAAGTGAAAGTGATTTGTTGTTTCAAAAATGTAAGAACTTTATTGAAAACTCCAAAAAATCATGAAATTATAGATATAATTGGAGGTTCTTATAAATATTTAGAAATAAAACAAATGCTAATTTATTTTTTTAAAGACAAATAATTCTGAAAAATATATTTAAAAGGTAACAAAGAAGTGCGATTGGAAAAAGAATAAATAGAAAAAATTAATTATGAAATAAAAAATATTTTGATCTTATATAACTGATTAGTTTTTTAGACCTTTAAGATTACTTGATGATATAGAATAATATAAAGCATCAGAACTTAGAATATTTTTATTGTATCCAGGTCAAAAGTTTAAAAAAATAATTTGAAAAAAAAATCGTACTCCCATTTTTTACTGTTAGTGAATGTAATTAGAATTTTAATTAATGTTGAAACATGTAATGTTCATAATGAACTAGCATCTAATTTACTTAAAGAATTTGTTAATAAATATTCAACTCTTTATGGCTTCCATTTAATTACTTACAATGTGTACAGTTCAATTCATTTGGCAGCTTGTGTACTTGTACGTGGCTCACTTGATAAGTTTAGTTGTTTTAGATATGAAAATTATTTATATTACATTAAGAAATCAATTAAATATCCAATACAAGAAGTATACAGTAGAATTTTAGAAAAACAAATTATAATGATACGGTACCATACCAATCATTCTTTGTTTGTCCAACTGTATGAAATGAAGTTATGCAACAAAAAAATCCTTTTAAATTTATTAATGTCTCGGATAGTATTTTTGAACAAATTATTTTACTTTTTTTTAAAACTTTATTAAAATTAATAAAGAAAAAGATAAATACAATAAGATTAAATATAATTCTGTTGTATCTGTTCACCGTATAATTAAATCTATAATGAACCTGTTATATTACTTGTAAACAAATATTTTAATTATACTTAATTAAGTAATAAACCCATATCTTCTATTACAGTAGGTATATTTGTCGTTAACACTACTCAAATATCAAATTTATTTAGCATTAGTTCATCCTGTATTAAATACAAATGATTTTTTGTTAGAATGTCAAATAGACTGGTAGTTGTGTCATATTTATGCCACGAAGTTTGATTTTTTTTTTTTAATTTTAAAACTATATTATATAATGTTATAAATAAATTATTATATATGTTGATGATAATAAATTATCAAATATTATTTTTTCAT